GATGAAAAACTTCCCTAACAGCCTGGTTGCTGAAGCTGATGCATTGACTTGGCAAGGGCTTATCATTCTTGATAACTTTTCGTGTGATACCGGAACTTTACGAGTTGAAATCAACTTTGCAGTGGAGAACCCATTCAGATCACTCAAGATCACTTTTAAGACAGAGGTCTTTAAACATCTACAAGAAAGGCCGGTCGGCCGGCTAGTCATTCACACTAGAAACTGGAAGCCAGCCGCCCAAACGGATCAAGTCACCTGGTCCCTCGTGTGGTTGTGAGGTGCCGTTGAATTGGTTCCCGCTCACAGCTACCATGGGTATATCAGCTGGAAACACTGCCTGATCCCGTACCATCCTCCCAATTGCTCTTAGGTTTGAGCCCGCCGTGGCAGCCACTGTGCCAGCCCAGCTTGTTAAGGTCTTCTTCTTTTTCGTTGCCCCTCAACTGTCCCAAACACGATGCCCTTCCCCAGGGACTGGTCTCTCCTGACAACCTGTCCAAAGTATGTGAGAAGAAGTTTTGCCATTCTTGCATTCTGGCTGGACTGCCTCTACGACGAATCTGAGATCTATGTGTGCACGCATGTGTCTGAATGTGTTTTGGCTCAGAGTTCTATTGTCCTATGTGGTCTAACCGTTGTTCATTTGTCTATTCAGTCTCTCATGACTGCCTTCTCCCTCATCGCCCCGCCCAATCTGGTTGAGCTTCCTCCTTGTACACACACACACACCATCATAAGTCAAAAAGTATTGCCACTAGGGTTCCAGTTGCTGGCTGCCTGGGTTTATTCCAAGCAAGTTTATTCTGACAAGTCTCTACAAGCATTGAAGCTTTGCAGCAAAGTTACGGGAATGCTGCCCCACAGGAACAGCAAACGGGATCATCTTGACAGGCTTTTTTCAAAGGACACTGATCAGCAGGGCTTTTTATGAAGAAGTTTTAAGAACATCGAAAACTGCATTGATGTGAAAAAGGTCAAGAACGTTGCACCAAGTATTTCACCCCCTACCCCTATCCCACCCTCCAGCAATGCACTGGTCATTCTTCTGAAGGGTTAGCCTGTAAGAATTAGAGTGGGAAAGCTTACCCCATCCATCCTATAGGGATGCTCTTGCCCCTTTAGATTTCTTTTTCTTCCCCAAACTCATAGAGCATTTCAAGGAAAACCATTTTGAGTGCCCTGCGGATCCCAAGCTGCCATTTTGCCCTAAGTCGGGGAGTGTGGCATTCTTCTGGAAAGGCAACACTGCCTTCAGAAGGGTATAGACCTAGATGGAGGATATGCCGAGAACCAATCGTTTCACATTTTGCTTTAATTAATGCTTCTATGATTTTGTCGCAATGCTTTCTCATTCTCATTGAGTGGCTTCTGACTCACTGTGACCCTATAGGACAGGGTAGACCTGCCCCCGTGGGTGTCTGAGACTGTAATGGTTGATGGGGGTAGGAAGGCTCGTCTGGCTCCCTCAGCGGGCGGGTGATTTCAAACTGTTGGCCTTACGGTTAGCAGCCTAATGTAACCTACTGTGCCACCAACAGTGCCAAGGCAAGCCTAAGACAGAGTCCACAAAGGTGCGCTGCGGAGGGAGGCGGCAGGGCGCAGCGGATGACGTGGCAAGGGCGAAGTGAAGATCTGTCACGTTTGACCAAGCCTGGACTTTATTCTGCTCCAAAGGCTGCCTCCTGGAGAGCAAAGACACGGCTGGTGTAAGCGAGGAAGACTATAAAACGTTAAAGAAACACCGTCTTCCAAGGGCTCAAGTAGCAAGCAAGCGTTTTGAGAATGACGAGGGCAACACATGTACACATGTGCTTGCCACAATGGATGGCTGGATTGTGATACGAGTTGTACGAGCCCCCAATAAAATGATTAAAAGAAAAAGAAAAAAGAAACACCACCTTCACTCTATTACTGCAGGGTCCCGCAGGGCAAGGACACCGCGGTTCAGAGTGCCTGCCACGCGGCGGCCATCCGATGAGCGCAGAATGAATGGGGGCCAGGGCTCTGGTGTGGTTGCCACCGCTCCCAATTTACGTTTTCCTCTTGGGACCGCACAAGGCGGTTGGAGCACGGGCTTGGGAGGTAGTTAAGGGGCGCATTTCCGCCGCTCACGCTCCGGGACCCACCCGCCGCAGGGGCCGCGCCTCTGGCACCCGGAGCGCTCAGCACGCTCCCCGGGGCGCCCGCCGGCCGGCCCCGCTGGGCAGCGCCCCAGGCCGGCGCCCTCGGGGATTGGCAGCGGCCCGAAATCCCGGGGCGGGCGCTGGAGGCCCCGCGCCCGTGAGGATTGGCCGCGGTGGCGGACGGACGGACGGACGGGCGGGCGGAGGGCGGCGCGTCTCCGCGGGCTCGCGCCAGCCATTGGCTCCCTGCGGTTTCCTTGGGGACGTGGCTGCGCCGCCTGCCCGGGCCCTCCTTCCGGCTGGGCTTTGGGGCGCGGGCAGCGACTTCTGCACCAGCCCAGCGGTGCCGAGGGAGCCGGCCGGGCGCTCGTCCCCGTGAGTGTGGGCGCGGGCGGGCTGGGGAAGCGGGGACCCCCGCGCCGCCACCTGGGACACCTGGGGTTCCTCGAGGATAGCCGGGTTTCGAGGAGGCTCCGCCCTCTCCCTCCCCCCAAGGCTCCCCCAGGAGCCGGGCTGAGGTCCTCTGGGCCCGGAGAACACGAGTGGACAGATCCGGAGTGGGAGCCCGAGATCGTGGCCTTCTCGCGGAGCTCTGGTCTCGTGGGCGCCCCTGGAGATGGGGCTGAACCCCAACCAACTCTTTCCAGGCAGCAGGTCAGAGCGATGCCTGGGACAGGGAGGCCACATTCTCAGGGCCGAAGGAAAAGGAGGTGACAGACGTTGAGACCGCGGAAGGGAACCCATGGCTAGGTAAGGCTGCACATTTTGTCTCCCTGATGGGGCGCTCAGAGGGAGTGAAAGTCAAGTTGGAGGGTCCTGGGAGCCCTGGTGGTGTAATGGTTAGGCGTTTGGCGGCTTTAGAAGTCACCAGCCGCTCTGTGGTTGAAAGAGGAGGCTCACAGGGGGGCAAGTTACCCTGCTCTTTAGGCTTGCCTTGAGTCAGAGCAGTGAATTGGGTTTGGGTTTGGGAGGATGTTCCAGGTTCGGTTTGCCCAGAGGGTGCCCTGGTCTTGAAAGCAAGATCAAAGTTGTTTTCTTTGGAAAACCAAACCCACAGCCATCAAGTGGATTCTAACTCATAACAACCTCATAGGACAGTAGATCTGCTCCGGAGGGTTTCCAAGGCTGTAAATCGTTATGAGACCAGCCAGCCAGCCTCCCCTTTGTCCTGCAGAGTGGCAGGTGGGCTTGAGCCACCTACCTTGAGGTTAGCAGCCCAATTCCTAATGCATCGAACCACCAAGGATCTGTATTCTTTTGAAGGCAGATCAAATATTCCTTTCCAGCCAATCACCACGAGGTGGTGGAGCATCTGTGTGCAATCAGCCCCAGCAAGTGCTACATTGTAACGGTCTTTTGCATTTCCCGTTGAGCTCAGCTCAGCCGTGGGGGTGTAGCCCTGGTTGGACTGTGTTTAAGTGCTCAGCCAGGGGAAAAGGTCTGGGGCGTCCAGGGAGAAGGACGTGTGAGTTGGCTTCCATAAAGATTTACAAGCTTGGAAACCCTGTAGGGAACCCACTGGATGGCCAGGTGGCTTTGGTTCTGTTTTAGGTGTGGTGTAGTGGTTTCTCGTTGGGTGGCCAACCGAAAGTTCACCAGTTTGAAACCACCAGCCACTCTGCTAGAGAAAGATGAGAATCTCTCCTCCTGTAAAACGTTCGTCTGGGAAAGCCACCCGGGCAGTCCTACCCTGTCCTGTAGGGTCGCTATGAGTTGGGATTGACCCCTATGGCAGTGAGTTTGGTTTTGGTGCAAAAGTGCTTAGTTGCTAATTGAAGGTTTGGAAGTTAGGGTGCTGCTTAACCTTGAAGTTGGACATTTGGGTCCACCCAGAGGTGCCTGGGATGAGCTAATTTAGAAAATTAGTCGTTGAGCACATTTCTACTCTGATGTGAATGAGGTTGCCAGGAGTCTGAGGCTAATGGTAACTGGTACCCCTTGAGGACGTTAAGCAGAGTTTGTTTATGTGTCATTTTTGCAGTAAACTTCGGAAGCCGACTGACTGAGGTTCTTTTGAAACAGTTCAGAAAGTGAACAGTTGAATCTATACATGATGGTACTCTGAAGCTTTTAAAATGATTAATGTATATCAACATATCATATACCAATAGGGGACATGTCAAATTGTGAGTGCATGTGTACACCAAGATGCAGAACAGTAGTTATGGTGTGCTACCATTTGTGTAAAACTAAAGGAGTGAACATATACACACATACCACACACACATGTATATACATGTTTCCATAGATGCATGGTGTTTATTTATGCTTGTGTGTACCTAAAATGTCCTTTACGAAGCATGTAGAAACCGAATAACAGTGGTTGCCACCAGGTGGGGGAGATATCAAGACAGAGCATGCACTTTCCACATACCTTTTTGAACTTTCTTTTTGTAACATCTGCATATATTCTCGATTAGCATTTAAAAAAAACTTGACAGAATTTGCTGACTTTCTAGCATCTTCATAGTTGTAGTTGCTGTGATTCCTGAGGTTGCCCAGGAAAACTGAGCATCTCTTCACTGCTGTGAGATTAAGTCTTTGGCTTGCACCCCAAAAGTGTACTCTTTGGGAAAGGAGTAGCCAGGGCTTCATAAGGCAGAGGCACCATGAACCATGGAGGTATTCTCTACCCTTTGAGACGAACGGGCTCTTTTGAGTCCTGCCGGCCAGCTGCGTTCTTGCTTTCGTCAGGAAGGGCATTTTATCCAAGTGAAAAACATTCTTTCCAATTTGTTGCATTTCAGGATCAGTTTTTCCTACCTCTGCCCAGCCTCCTGGTACTTCACAGTGCCCACGGTCAGCCCGTTTCCCCGGCAGCGAGTGGCGTTCCTGGGCCTCTTCTTCGTATCCTGTGTCCTTCTCCTGATGCTAATGGTGGACTTTCGACATCGGGCAGTGTCCTTACCACGAGACCGGCAATACGAAAGGTCAGTCGGCTTTAGATCTCCTCGATGCACTTTGATGTGAAGCCCATAAACAGTCCGACAGACTGCTTAACTCATTACGACCTTTGGTCTTTTGTGGGGGACCTCCCACTTTGATTGGTACAGCGGCGAGCCGGTTATTACATGAAGAAGACCGGAAGCCCTCTTTGGGCAGTATTCGGTCTTGGTAAGGCCTTTTAACCCTGAAAGGCACCTTTCTAGGATCTTGGATTGGTGGGCTGAGGCGTGTTGGATGTATACATGTTTAGGATTATGTACTCTTGATGAATGGACCCCTTGGCCATGATTAAGTGGCCCTCTTTGTCTCTGGTCACTTTCTTGGCTCTGAAATGTACTTTGTCTAGTATTAATACCGCATATAAGGAGACCTGGCGGCTCAGTGGGTTAAGTGGTGGGTTGGTGACTGACAGGTCAGCCGATTGAATCCACCAGTTCTGCTATGGAAGGAAGAGCAGGTCGCTGGCGAAAGTCAAGATTTACAGCCTCAGAAAGCTTGTGAAGCAGTTCTGCTCTTCCTATGAGGTTGCTGTGAGTCGGAATCGACTCAGTGGCAGTGGATTTAATATTAATATGCACATCGCTACTTGAATAAATGGCGCAGAGGCCGTATCTGAGTTCCTCTGGTCCCACAAGGGAGAAGGAGAAGCCAATTACTTACCCACCCAAGACCTGTTGCCATGAGGCAGAAGTCAGACACACCTCTGTCCTTCCATCTTCCTTTACCCTCTTTCCGCACCAACCATCCCTCCGGGTTCGAGACTCCGTTGCCGTAGTCACAGCGCTCACAGAGGATGCTCAACCGTTAGAGGGCTTCTTAGGGAAGTTAGCACAAGTCAGGACCAGAAAACAGCGAAGATACGGTCGCTGGTCCACAGCAGCACCTGTCAGCCAGCAGCCAGCTCTGTTTCGTCCTTAGTCTCTCAGCCAGGTGGTCCCTTGGCTTCTGCCTCCGTGGGCTGGAAAGCCCGCCCGCTGCTCTGCCCCACCTGCGCATGGTGTTCTCGCCTTGGACTCGGGTCTCAGTGTGGCATGAGCTCCGCTGCCTCCGCACTTCAAGCAGGGATTGTACATGTGTACCATTGTCTTCCTGGATGGCCCCAGGGATTCTCTCTGTTCCTGCTTCAACCTGATAGCGAGAGGAGGGGCAAGAGGACAGTCCTTTCCATTAGTGTTGTGCACGTCCTGTTTACACAGTCCACATCCACATGCGTCTTCACTCATGCCCTGAAGCAGAGAGGAACGGTCTGTCCATCTTGTAAGACTGAAGGAGAACCTGTCCAGAAGCCTCCCGTCTTCTTTTCCTTGGAGTGATTATTATTATTATTTTCCTAGAATTAGGATGCATGCCTACTTTCCTTAGTGTTTCTGGGTTGTCCGGTTCCCAGTGAGTCATTGGAACATTTATTGGGCACCTGTTATGTGTCGGGCGATCAGAGGGCCCAAGATACAGACGGCTTATCATAGTTGCAACATCATGGAAGGCTCTGGCCTAGCAGGTGGGTAGCTTAGTGCTCAGTGTGCTTTAATGTCAGGCTGTGTTTGCATCAGCACACATTATTCTGTATCATCAAACAGCACTCATGGCAGCTTTTTGAGTCTTTTGGTTTTGTTTGTTTTAACTTTTTAATAGTGAAATGCCAAGACTTCCAGAGCAGAACATTAATTTGACACCAACAATTCACCCACATTTTCTTTCACCTCGTTCACTGTGATCCCCTTCTGGAACACCACTTAGGACCCTTGCTCCCCATGCTCTGTTTCCATTCTTCCCTCTTTCCAAACCCCCCTGACTTTGTCTTTGGGTAAATGCTGCCTTGCTGATGCCCAGCGGCTGGTTATTACAAGGTGTGTGTACCTCACACGCACATAGACCTGTCTATTGTTCGGCTGGAAATTGGACCGTGGGTCAGCACATTTCCAGGCTTGAAGAGTGACTAAGGACCGCGGTCTTGGCGGGTCCCACCAATCTTTTTCCGAGTGAGCTTGATCTGAGTCATATTGCAAGCAAACACGTCTGGAGAACTTGATAGAAGCATCACACGGTGGCATTGGTCCTGGGGTCCAGTGGTGACACGAGAACATGCCCTTTGAACTCAGCGAGTTAATAATCTGGGTAGGGTGGCTGACGTGAGTGAGTAACTACCCCTGGATGAGATAAGAGCTTATGTTCATCTGTGCAGAATTAGGAACAAAGACTCATGGGTTCTGAAGAAGCCTGGGAGTAACCAAATCCGCTATCACAACGTTCCTGTACTCTGACTGCTCATGTATTTTATTGATAAGATACCCTTGGTTGCTTTCATTTTATATGGTGTTCCAATTAGTTTGTCTCTCTCTTGTCTCAGAACACAGCTAATTAGAGTCCTGTTGGGGAGGGAACAGTCATTAGATGCAGGCACTGATGACAACAGTGATAAAATCTAACATCTTGACAGTGAGGCAAGAGTGAGAAAATTAATTTTTTTAAAACACAGCAACTCAACCCATTTCTATAGAAATTTCTATAGTGATAAACAGCTCTACATCTATAGTTAAAAGTGCATTAGTACACAGCCTAGTAATTTATGATAATGAGGATGTTAACGCAGTAGTTTTCAGCTTTCGTATATCTGAAACACTTGAGGACCTTTAAAAATGCCAATAGTTGGGCCTCTTCTTGGACTCTTGGGTGCAGTCAGCGATAAGAACTGCGGCTGTGGGTTTGGGTACATTTACCTGATGGATATTGTGTTGCAGGGGAAGAAAGCACAGCATTTCAAGCTAGCCCATTCCATCGTTTGCTAGTGAGGGTGTCAGTAAAGAGAGGACCTCTGCTGTTTAAGACTTGTGTCAGCTATCCTAACCAACGAGTCCCCTGGCATGTGCCATGGCGTTGACCATCTTGGCTTTCTCAGTGTCCTGGAGCCTCATTGTCTTTACCCGCCTCAGAGTCTTGCTGTTAAAGGAGCCCTGGTGGCCCCATCTGGTAAGCATTGGCTTGCTAAGCACAGAGCCAGCAGTTCAAACCTACCAGTTGCTCCTCAGGAGAAAGATGAGGCTGCCTGTTCCTCTAATGCAGTGGTTCTCCACCTTCCTCAGGCCGCGACCCTTTCATACAGTTCCTCATGTGGTGGCGACCCCCACCATAACATGATTTTCATTGCTACTTCATCACTGTTATTTTGCTATGGTTATGAATCAGGCCACCCCTCTGAAAGGGTCATTCGACCCCCAAGATTTACAGCCTCAGAAACCCGGTATAGGGTAGCTCTGCATCGGGACAGTCGGCAGGGGGGTGGGGGCGTGGAGCAAAGGTTAAGTCTTGGCTGCTAACGGAAGACTCCGCAGTCTGAACCCACGAGAGACAGGAGCCAGTGGCCTGCTTCCGTAAGGACTGCAGCCTACGCCCCCAGGGCCGCTCTGAGTCGGAATGATTGCAGGGACACCCACAGTAGGAGTCTTGTCCTTAGGGTGAAATGAAGAAAGCACGTGGGACCACTTGGCACAGCTGGCACTGCCATCGAGTTGATTCGGACTCATAGCGACCCTACAGGACGGGGTAGGACAAGCCCCTGTGTGTTTCCAAGACAGGAGTAGGCAGCCTCATCTCTCTCCCACGAAGTGACTAGTGGCTTTGAACTGCTGTCCTCGTGGTTAGCAGCTCAATGTGCAGCCCACTATGCTACCAGGGCACCCACTGGGCACTGAGTAGGTACTAATCAAATTTGGATCTTTTCTCCTTCTCTTTTTACATTAAAGTCAGTGCAATAGGGGGGACTTTAAGCACGGTTTCCCAAGGTAGGCAGTGAATGGTTTCCCAAGCAAATAGGGGAAATATCAAAGGCTTGTTAGAAAGGTAAACGATTCCCGTGGCACCCGAAGTTGCCACATTCATTTGACTAGAACAGTGGTTCCCAAGTTGTACACCTGTGGGATTTCATATGCAAACGGTTTTGTTCTCTGAATAAAATAGCAAGGATTTCTTCCCCTCCAAACCCTGTTCTCTGCCCTGTAATCAGACACGGAAGATCAGAGGCATCATCACCTCCATTCCACATTTTCCTTCCAACTCTTTTGCATCTCGGGGCGGCTGCTGCTACTGCTTAGGTACCAGGAAGCACGAGCTGAGGTTAAAATGATCATGCAAATAATTGGGGAGGAAGCGAGACACTGATCACTTTACTCCAACGATTACTTTCACAGGCTGTTGTGGCTTGTGTGTTCGATACATGTAAACATTTCCCCCCCTGTTGGAGTTGTTCCTAGTTTCCATTGTGGATTTATATCCGTAGTTGGGGCAGTGCACAGTGGTGCCGGACTGCCGGAACACACTGACCTCCAGGTACACACCTGAGCCCGTTGGGGAACCTTGGATTGAGCACTTGTGCCCGTGAAACATGGGTTATTCGTCAGTAGTTTCAGTACCTGAGGCTTGGCTACTTAAAATGGTGCTTTGCATCTTTGTGTTTTATTATGTACAAAGGTAAGGTAACGACTGTCAAAATCCCCCTAAATGTAATGATTTCTGCATGGGAAAGAAGCACTTGCATCTAAAGAGATTTTCCCCCCGGACATTTTCCAGACCTGACTGAACATGAGCGTCTGGCTTTGAGGTCGGCCCTGTTGCTGGTGTCAGGCCCACTGAGTCCGTTCTGACTCATGATAAGCGACCTTCTGTACCGCAGAGCAAGCACCCTCCTCACCATCGTCGGCACATATTGTTGCCGCCCCTGTGCCGACTGTCTTGCCAAGGGCCTTCCTCCTGTGTGCTGCCCCTTCACCCTACCAAGCACAGTGTCCTCCTCCAGGGGCTCGAGCCCCGATGTTGTTGTTAGGTGCCACGCAGTCGGTTCCGACCCATAGCGACCTTCTGCACAACCGAAGGAAACATGGCCGGTCCTGCCCCAGCCTCACAATTGTCACTCTGCCTGAGCCCATGGCGCCGGCCGTGGTGCCACTCCATCTCCTCGAGAGACCTTCCTCTTTTTTGCTGCCCTTCTACC